AGTTTTGCAAACTCAGTGAGTGGTTTTGCTATAAGTCTGAATAGTTTTAGAGATTGTGCTGCAGGAATCACAGTTAGGGTTTAAGCATTCAGAAAAAACTGTAATAACATGATCACTGCTCTGATTCACAGCTTCAGCATTAATCATCGTTGGTTATTAATGATGAAACTGTGAAATCAGTCTGAACAGAAGCACAGACACAGTTTAAAAAAGAGGGTTCAAGTCTGAACATCCTGAATTTGAACACCTGTCGATCTGCGATGCTTGTTTTTCTGGTTTCAGTAGAAACACCAGCAGGACACGTCTCAGCTCCTCGTGGCAAACATCCAAAGGTCTTCCTCAAAGTGCCGACACCCTCAGCATCAGAAGCCCTGCTCCTGCTTTCAGCAGAAATAACTCGAACACCTTTACTCGGGTTATTTGATCAAAAAGACGTTTCCAGCTGACAGACTGGCAGCTTTGCTCTTTAAACCACGTCACTCAGCAACATATGAAGCTGAGCTTTTCAACCCTGACCTCAGTTTTAAATGATCGCTGGAAAGAAAGGAAACAAATTATAGGATAAAATGATGTAAATTAAGATTTGGCTGAAACGAGATGACTGATCACTGTGACAATTTATTGATTTTCAGTTGATCCTCTTTGAATCAGTGCTGTCAGATAAACATGACGGATTTAAAGTCGAATGTTCTCAGAAATCAGAAGAAATCGTTCTGTGGATAAACACAACTGCACCTTTGGCCTCAGCAGCTGAGAGTCTGGTCAGCAGCACAGCTCACATTTAAAGTTACAAACGTCACATTTTCACTGACAGTCCTGTTTCTCTGCAGCTCTGCATTTCACCCAGTACTTCATATTTGTTGTACTTGTACATTTTTTTATTGAACAGTTTAAACTTGTGAGAACTGACTGATGCTTTTGTAAACTCCTGTTTAAAACCTTGTAAATAAACTGAGGCTGACCTCATGCCCCAAACATCTGTATTTAAGGTGGACTGAACCTCAACTTGGGCCAGGTTACAGTCATGTAATACCAACATTAACCACACGATGGAGCAGTGTCAGCAGACTCGTTCAGATCCCCTGATCAGGAAACCGCTGCCCCCCGGTGGTCAACGTCTTACTTCAGGTTAGCAGAGGGCATTTGCTAGATTTAATCTGCAGATTATTTTAAAGTAATAACATTAATAACAGGTTTCATTTACCAGCGTAATTATTTTAACCTAAACACAGAAAATGAGGATTTCTCTTCTTATAACCAGCAGCTGTATTTTCCCCTTTAATAACTCAACGTTTCAAAGAGGATCAGTTTTTCTGACAGGACTTTAAAATCACGACTCATCAGTAATTGAATACTTATTATTTAACCACAGGTTCATCATCTCACTTGGGGTCATTTAACAGTTTGTTTCTTAAAGGTCCAATCAGGGATGAGGTCTCCAGCTCAGCTGTGACTGAGTCCTGTATCCTCCCTGCTCTTTGAACCGATGCTCTCATTATTACTTGTCCCAAATAAATGAATACAAACACTGTTAAGACTTTTTCACATGAAGGAATAAAAGCATCTTCATAATGTGAGTAAAGGTCAGTTTCTGCCCTCAGACTGCTGAACATTTTAAAACGAATGTAAATCAGATTGAATCATTCAGTCTCAAAGATCTTTAAACACAGAGAAACAAATGATTGTAATGGAGTATTTTTCAGCCCTTCAGCAGTTTCTCATTAAACGTTTCAGCCCCGCCCCCTCACACATCATCCATCCTGTTAAAAGAATACAAAAAATGCAAAATTGTTGTTTGTTGTAGTTTAATTTTTTCCCCCAGAAAG